CAGATCGCTATTAGCAAGAATGATCCCTACGCTGTAGCCTAACACTTGGGCCCATATTGGCCGTGCTTTGATCCAAATGCTAAGGTACTTCCAGTGTAACTTTAGGCAGGACCATCTGCTTCCGCTTTTTGGAAGCGTTTATAAATCTTGCTAGTTTTTCTGGCAAAATCACTTTCTCGATATTCCTTAGTAATGTGATAACCAGTCTGCCTATAGTTCGTTCATTCGTTTCGATGGTAAATTGGTACTAGAGAGCAGCAACGGAAGAGTTTTGACCTCTGATTTAAAGTTTGTTCAACAAAAAATCTGTAAAAGTCTTTTTGTCTTCGAAGAGATTTTGCTTTTTTTTCCTGTCTCATGCTTGCACAGTCACTGCATCTACGCATTTTACATTTCCTTGTTCCTAGATAATTATTTAGATGTGTCGGTGTGTTTTGCTGGATCTTTGCAGCAGTCAAATGTATATTTTGCTATTTGCTGTTTTCTGAACTGTTTAGGTTCCAGATGCGAAGCTTTTGCCATTCAACAATGAGTTTTTCGATAAAATTTTCCATGTTCATTCGTCATATTTTTGGACAGCTGATTTACCAGAAACATTGGTTGAAATCATGCGGGTGCTGAAGCCTGGCGGACTATTTGTTTCGGGCATGTACCTCAAAAAGTTAGTTTTTCATGCCCTCTTTTTCTAGCTGGCACTTAATCAATGGGCCATTTTGCAGCTAACAGAATCTTCATTTCGGTCAGTTCTGTCTGTGTAAACTTTACAAAAACATTCCAGAATTCCTTTATTTGGTTGATGGCCTTCGTTGCGTCCGCAGTTCTGCTGTTTTGAATGAAGTGTTGCATGAATCTGTTGAAATGTTCGCAGTTCGTGAATATTTTGCCACTGCGTTACTTGAATAATTAATTTTAAGTGTAGCATAACTCACTGCCCTGGGAAATATCACTTTTCCCTTTTCAGGCTCGAGCTTCTGGAAAAAGGCAGGATACTAAGGCGGCGACAGTTCGATCCTGCACGATACATCTTCGAATTGGAACCGGCAGGCTTCACCGATGTGAAAGTAAAAAAAAAAAAATTTATCGTTGTCACAAAACTCGAAGGTATCTTCTTGTGTTTATTGCAGATGGAGTACATTAAAGGGACGGCGAGAAAGGAATATCAAGTGATATATGCAAGGAAGCCGTTGGAAGCGAAAGAACTACGAGATCCAGACGAAGTGGAGGCTTTCCTGCAAAGCCGATTGACTCGAGAGTACATCATTGAGCGTGGAATCGATGAGGGCCTATCACTGCCAGAAATCGAGCGGGAACTTGCCTTTGATAAGTCTGATGATAAAGTCCCGCAACTGGATAAAGCAAAGGATAAACCTCTTCAGATTCCTGGATCGAAAGCGTCCTGATGGTAGAGTGCTTGCTAGGTACTGAAACTAGGCTAAAACATACTGTGCCATCAAAGAATTGAATAAGCTTACTTTACGGTTTTGCTGCTTTATGTGCCTATGTTTATAAACTTCACAAATGATAATCTCTTTGGCAAGCTCTGTTTATCAGCGGGCCTGTATCTGTGGTGGGTGAACTGCTGGTGTTGAGCTCACCATTTTTTTGAAAAACTAATATTCTTCCCCTTGTATCTTGAGCTTATATAGAATATCTTTTATGCTTATATGCATGTGGCAGTTAGAGATACTGCAACTGTTGATCTGAAGGTTCAGGGTTCGACTTTGTCGGTAAAACGACGGATCTGTCTACGATTCGTTCACTGTTTTCGATAGTAAATTGGCCAAGGAGTCAAACCCGCCGTTATATTGTTTGTGAGCAACTCTCGAAAGAGGGAGCCATCGACAACCTTACTAGCGGATAATTGGCATTGAAACATGCTACCACTCAGGCTACGTTCGAATTCCTAGTCCTTTTTGGAGAGTAAATTAGGGGGCGAGGAGAATTTGAGTTTATCCTGCGTACTCCAGATACATGACCATTTCACATATGAAAAGATTTTTAGCACATTATTTTGTCAACTATCCCTCTCACTACCATTCACTAAATTCCATCCTTTCCATCCTAAATTACGTGGAATTCAGCCACGTTGGATTCGCTTCGGTTAGCATGATCCACTTCTTCACAGAGTAAGCTTCAGCCTACTTACGGCCGTAAAATAACACTTCACAGCGCCGATCTTCTCGTCAACCCCGCTCGGTACGACTGATTTTGGCTGGGCTTCTGTCTCCCTTCTTTTTTATTTTGTTCTCCACCTATTATTTGTTGATATTTTCTAATATAAAATTTATATTCCGCTCCTGTAACACACCAGGTTTTCTGTTTTCATCAGCGCACTCATGTACAGAAAAATCGTGTTAGATAGAATGTCGAAGCACTGAATCATTACTAATCAGAAATCTTGCATGGAGGATAGGAATCTGTACCGATGACTCCCACACACCGTGTGCTCTGTCAGTCTTTACAGCTAAGGGATAAAACACAGGCTACTTTTTAGTGGACTTGTCGATAGATATGATATTTAGGCCCATCCGTTATCAGTGATATTAATACTTCTTAAGTTCTTGAATGTGTAGAAAGTTTTTCAGACAGAATTGTTAAGAAGTGTAGAACTTAATTCTTAAAACAGTGTTCTTTGTAATGGTTTTATTATTAAAACAGTATTCTTTGTAATGGTGAACTCCATCTGTGGGCTTGAGCCGGGTAGTACTAGTTTTGTGTATTGATCCGTTTATTCGTATTCGTTTACATCCCATATTTCATCCATTATTTTGTGAATAATTTCGAGCACAATCGGTGCATTACAATTATTGTTTAAACCAATTTAATTGTTGTGTGTTGTGCAGTATACTTGCAAATTCTCACTTTTTCCGACGAGTTGTATTGTATGTGCGCAAGTTTTTTGTGTATGTCATAGCTTTATAATACTAGTGACACTGTTTGCGCTGAAACTTCCCGCACATCGAAAGATTATTCATGATTTTCTGCTCATCATAAATCTGGTATTGTTTTGTTATGTTTGTTAGGTTATGGTAAATTGTTATTACTTCTTGTTATGGTAGGCCCCATTAGATCTTTGTACTTTTTTGTCAATTAATTTTAGAATTAAAATTGATATAAATAATGTTAATTTTGTTTTGTCTGGAACAGCTGTTAATTCATCCTCTGGTTCTCCTCTCTGTGTGTAATTGGTAGCTTTTCCTGTTGCTTTGACCAATGCTGCATCGCCATGTAGTCACACTGTTGGTGATCTTGATGTTTATTTCGTCTGTTAAAAAACCTGTAAGTTCAACGATTCTTTCGAAACCGAAGCGTTTGGCAAGGATTTAACCGTTTTGAGCTGTTTCTGGTGTGCGCTGAGATTTATCACTTTGTTGTCACTTCTAGAGCACACATGGAATTACAGTTCCGCAGTGTGGATTTCATAGTAAACAGTTTATATCCAATGAATCGTTAGAAGTTAATCGTTGCCTTTGCAAGATTCTGTTCCTTTTTGCTTTACTGGCGCAGAAAAGAGCTTCTTAATTCTCTCTCCCATTTTCACAGCAAACTCTTTATATCCAATAAATCCTTAGAAGTTAATCGTTGCCTTTGTCAGATCCCTACTTTTTTTTCTGCTTTACTGGCGCAGAAAAGAACTTTTTGATACCTTCTCTCTCTCTTCATTGTAGTGTCAGTTTTGTCTGCTTCCTTCTTTGTTTACTTTTGCGTAATCTTTAATTCCCTGTGTATTTCAGATGACTAAAAACAACAATGCTAATCAGTAGTGGGGATTTGCGACTTTTCAGGGGGATTTTGAGCAGTTCCAGGCGATTGAAGCATTTCATAACAACTCCAATATTCTATGCTAATGCACGTGAGGAGATTTCATTTTGTTATCATGAATAAGCCAATGAATTATTGATATTAGAGAAGTCTCTCGTGAACCTAAATTTGTTCAGAATAAGGTCTTGACCTCAGTGAGTTCGTATTCTGCCCCGCGGAGCCGTTGAAGTTTGCAAATTGGGTGTGCAGTCTTTGAGATTGTTCAGCGGTTTAATAACCCGCGCTTGAGGTTGCAGTGTTTGGATTTTGTCTGTCGCGTACTTTCTTGGGCAGTGTTTCCGTTCAAGATTCGCAAAATTTGTGAAAAAACGCCATCCTCGCGGGAAAAATAAGCGGTTTTTTCTGAAAAATTTGATACAAGAACCACCAAAACGGAGTTTGAAAGCAAATGCTTGCTTATGAGTGTAAGCAGTATTAATGCCAGTGATAGGACTGCCAGAAATTCGGCCCTACTGGAGCTGTAGGGTTTTGTTTGTTGAACTTTTACAATCATTTGTTCGGCAGACTAACTGTCCAGTTTCAGCCCCACACATTGGTCATCTGTATACGGCACTGCTTGGAGATGCTTTTCATCGCTGGGAGCTGCTAAAAGTTGCTGGTTCCATCGATAATAATTCGTTATTTACAACAGGAACGGATGAGCACGGTCTGAAGGTAACAGTTGGAGAGTGTTCACTAAAAGCCAAGTTCTTGATTCTTTATATGTAATTTAGGGTTAAAGGAAAAATGTGAGAAAAAAACGATGGAAAACATGAAAGGAAAGGATTTGTATGTAACAAGTGTCACAGGTTTGTACCATGGAGCAAATTAAAGCCCCTTGGATGGTTAGGGATTGCTCCCTGTGTCCCAGATTTTAAGATTTTGCTGTATAGCTTTTACTGAGCTCAATCGTACTTTGTGGTTTTACTAGGAAACGTGATTGCAAATTTTGGATTTCGTAAGAAAATTTCATGAAATTTTCATTCCCCCTGTAAATTAGGCTGCATTTAAAGCCAATTCAGCGCATTGGGCCATCTTTTCAGATCCAGAGAACAGCTGCAGCGGCTGCTTGTGATCCACTTACTTATTGTGATGATATTAGCAGCAAGTTCCGGGAGCTTTTCCGCGCTTTCTCGATTCATCCAACTGATTTCATTCGAACCACCGAACAGAGGCATAAAAAAGTCGTTGAACGTGTATGGGTAAGTGAAGAAATTTCCACCATCTGCCATCTAATTCATCCTCCGGGCGACTGTTTCGATTCAGTAAAAAATTTGCCCAAAAATTACGACTTATAAAAGTTTTTTGGAAATTATGAAATGAGAGTAAATGTGGCCATTGTTCTACTAGTACTTATATATTCATCAGTGAACAAGGCATCGAATTTCTTACATGTCTAAAGTCGAAATCCCCATTAGATTTACCCACCATTCGTGCTTTGACTTGGCTGTTGTGTTGGCTTCTTGCACCGAAAATTGCTTAGAAACAACTGAGGGCAATTTTTGACCCCCTGTCATTCACCAGTGCAAATTTACTTCGACAATAAATTGGCAAGAGAATGCATCAATCGTAGAAGGATGGGTTTTTCTGATAGCGCTGTTGAATCCTCATTTTTTACCGCAAATGCCATGCCCTCCAGCTTTTGTGCTTTCACCTAAATTGTCTAACAGCTTGAACAGCAAAAGGATTAGCAGTCATTTTTTACAAGCTAGAATTATATCCCATGGAATAAAAGAGAACTCGAATTCCATGAAATGTTGTAAAAGAGAACTCGAAGTCCATGAAAGAGAACTCGAGTGCATTTTGTCACCCACTTTCATCTCAGCAACCATGGAAGCTAGGAGGCTGAAACTTCGGGTATACGTTCCCACCCTGGTGGCATCCTGCCGTTTTAAGATCTTTCCCCATACGTGCCCAGACCCCACGTGTGAGCCTACCAAAAAAATATGTTGGCGGGAAACGATTTCGCGAACCAGGCAAGGTAGAAAGCTGAAACTTTGCAGGGATA